GGTGAAGTGGCACGTCGCGGTGCTGCCGGGGTGTAGCTCATTCCTGATGCCGCTGTTTGTCGCTGAGTTTTGAAGAGATTTGTTGGCTGGCTCTTGCTAAACCACGCTTGAGTAATCCGAGCTGCTGCGCGCCGTGGTGAAGCCCGGAGAGGGGGGAACGTCATTCCCCCTGGCAGCGGAGCAACATTAGTCTTCCAGCCCTCGAACCATCACTACAGCGTCGGAAACTGCCGGGTCACAGCCATTTGCTTTGGAAAATTGGCGATGTTTGGTGCTAGAGATCGATTACCCTTGTAATCTTCCCCCCTACACACCTCCTCCTGCTGCTTACCCCAGCCCTGCCCGCCCCAGACAATAGCGTCCGAGCTCCTCCCGGAAAAAAAAAATAGAAAAGAAAGCAAGGAAAGAAAGAAAAAGAAAGAAACTGGGGGATGGATCTGACTCCAATAGGAAAAGCGTGTATTTAGAAGTGTTGCTAATGGGAAGAGATTTCCGAGCTCCAGAGGACGATGATTTGTCACAAAGGGTAGCTGGCTCGGTGCTTTGGGCTGGAGCCGTGTAGGAGATCCTTGGAGAAGTCATTGTGCACAGAGAACCGAAGACCTGTACAAACATGCCTGTTCGCAGAGGCCATGTGGCACCACAAAATACATTTTTGGGTACAATCATACGAAAATTTGAAGGGCAAAGTAAGTTCTCTCTTTCTATCTATTTTGCTACAGTAGTTTGATTCTGCTTGTGACTAAACGGATAGCAGCTCCAGACTATTTTAAGTTTGTAGCTTGTAAAGAAAACCCCCAGAGGTAAGGAGGGGATCCCTGGCAGGAGTAATGTTGTTGATCTAGAATACAGATTACCGACTTGAATTATGGGGCTTTTTCCCCCCGTTTCAAGGAATAGTTTTTGTCTTTGACTGTATCCATATTGTATAGCTATAGAAGTTATATCTCTTACCTTCTTCTGAACTGTGAGATGGCTCTAAAAGCAGAGTGTACAAATCTTGCTGCTGATTCAATGTCTAAAAAAAGATCAGCTAGATTTATTGTTATTGTTATTGTTATTATCATTGTCTTTTCAAAATCAAGCAGAACAGTCAGACTTTGATTTAGAGGAAACAAAGAATATGCACAGGAGTTATTAAAGGGAAAATACTCTCTTACCTTGTTGTCATGACTGCATTTCAATATAGCTGTCAAATATTTCTGCTTTGTTTATGCAAGCCTAAAATATCTATCAAACCAGTTCAAATGCATCCTCAGGGAGAGTCTGTGAGATCTTTTCCAATGCAGCCGCTTACTACCTGTCAGGGAGGCTGGAGCTGAGGTGTTTTTCCTGGCCAGAACTCTGGTTTACTGGTAACAGTAACAAGGAGCACTTGATGCTTAAAATGAATTTCATTTAGAAACAGTAGTTTTGATATATGTACATTTATTTAAATATTTAACATATTTTTAGGATCAGTCTGGTGCAAACCCTTACAGCTAACTCCAGTTTATATACTTCATTATACTTAAACCCACATTACCAATTTAATATTTATGTTATTTGAGAAAATTATGAAGGCAATGTTTGTAGTCCTAGGTGATCTAAATGCTAAGTTAATGTTGCTACTCGAGTTAAGTTTTTATGCAGTAAAGTGTATATATTTTGAAAATAATGAAGGTGGAAAAACTTAACGAGGCAAGTGATAGTGAAAATTCAGCGTGATTGAAAGACAGTAGAAAAAGCAAGAATGAAATCTGTATTTTTCTCTCCAAATATTTCACTGTGTTCAAAGACAGAATATTTTTAGAATTTTCAAGACTTGTACTGCTAACTTGGTGCCATGTAAAAAGTCTTTTGTAAAGCAAGGGACCTACCAGTGTGATTTAGTAAGCAGAAATTAATGTTGTTAACAGTAAATGTGTCAAAGATGCACATTTATAATTACAAGGGGAATAGTGTGCTATAGTGGTAAACAGAAACAAATTAAATAACAGTTGAAAACTTTTGAACCTCTCTGTCAGGTGAGGGTTTGGGAAAGAATGATGGACTGAGGCACAGAACTTCACCAGACTGTGCAAAAATGTCTCCAACATCACAAACTTTGGTTTTCATGGGCCTTCTTACTCCTTTTTTTTTTTTTTTAACTAAGGAATATTTTATTTTATAAATGTAACTTTTAAAACAATCACAGAGGTAAAAAAAAAAAGCCATGTTATTTTCTAGATAGCTTTGTTAAAATACTGACTATAAGCTTGCTGTCATTCATCTCAATGAAAATCCCTCCAGAGTAGACGGAGCTGGTTGGACCTTATCCCAGGAAGCGCTTCACTTGAGTAGAACCCCCTTCCCAAGGCCCTACTACCCCAAAAAGAAGCTAAGTTTCAAGGACTTTCCTGGAGTTATGGCTGACAGGATGCTGATCATCGCCTAGGTTTCAGTGAAGCTAAAATGACATAATTTTTAAGTCAAAAGGAGTTTTGCAAAACACTTGCATAATCTGGTTTAATTTCCTTAAAAGACAACTATCTTCAACTTTAATGTGTTCTAAATTTATGGAAGTTTCTTTAAAAGCTATGGATCAAATTAACTACATTAAATGACTGAAAATCTCTGCATTTTGGGCATCCCAGTGACAAGAAGGGGTTTTTAGCATCCATCCATGCAATCGACACTTTATGAAACGTTGGAAGAGTACTAAAAAATGCATCACTTTCTTTTATTGCAGATAAAAAATTCATCATTGCTAATGCTAGAGTGCAGAATTGTGCTATCATCTACTGCAATGATGGGTTCTGTGAGATGACCGGGTTCTCCAGGCCAGATGTCATGCAGAAACCTTGCACCTGTGATTTTCTTCACGGGCCGGAGACCAAAAGACATCATATTGCCCAGATTGCTCAAGCGCTGCTGGGGTCAGAGGAGAGGAAAGTAGAAGTCACCTATTATCACAAAGATGGTAAAGTCTGTTTTTATTTGCAAGACTTCTTGTGTGTTTGGTTATCAGTTGATTGGTAAAAGAAGTGCGTATGATCTGCTGGCCAGACCCTTTTTGCTGGAGTAATGTTGTAATTTCCCTGAAGTCAAGTCCACTTACGTACACCAGTCAGGGAATCTGCCCTGAAAGCAGTGGGTGTACAGAGGGTACCACTATGCTGACTCTAACAGCTGAATGAAGCTAGCACTGTGTTTGCAACCATTCTCATGTGGTTTAAAGCAGATGTAAATCTCCTAAAGTAAACAGCCCTACAACAACAAACAGATAACACAAGCAGAGAGGGCACATCCTGTGAACGTTAATCGTTGTGAACTGTTCTGTCTCACAGGATGTAGGAATGGTGGATCAGTTTCAGAGGGCTTAACTCTGCCTGCCTCATACAGTTGGAACCCTACCTTGGTTTAAATGCAGTATTTTACTGGAAAAAGTACAAGGCTAAAAGTAGCAAAAAATGGCCTATCATGAAGAACGCATTAGCTTATAAAGAAAGGGACAAGTCTTTTTCAGAAATAAGATATTGTAAATTGGAGTACCTGCAACTGAACCACAGAAGTTGTACTAGCATTATGTTGTCAGAGTAAAAATTTTGAGACGGCTAATCTATGAAGAGTTTCCTTGTTATTCAGTGAACACTCAATATATGAAGAATGGCTAAATCTGCTATGCAGATGCTTTTTTTCTGCTAAGAGCATAAAATGGATAAATGACTGTATTTGCAGATTAAAAAAAATGGTATGCATTAAAACTAATTATAATACATAATAGTTATATGTAGGTATGGGGTTTTTTTTTCTTTGCCCAGGGTTATTTACAGAAACATCCGTCTTTCAAACAAATGCAAGTAATGGATAGGTGTGGTGTACCTTATTCTATCTCTTGCTGTGTACACTCTTAGGAGAAGGAAGAGGAAATTCATATTCAAATGTTGAGCTTAAATTAGTTCTGGAGAAGCGCCAGTGTGTTGTTTGCATCAATTTTAGAATCACATGCAATGGATGCTCTCGCATTTTAAAGTCACAGAGTTAAATCCTGTTCTCAGTAATTCTGTTGTTATCTTGGAGAGACTCAAGTAATATTATTTTTAGGTTAGGCTGGTATAATTCAGATAGGCTCGGGCCAACCATTCTACCCACACTATCAATATTTAAGCATGTTCTTCTTAGCACGTTCTCAGTAGAGTCCTTTATTCTTAGATGTGGTTCGGTGGTCTGGAGCAGATTTTGGTCAAGATTTGTTGCTGTAGCTGTGCCTTGAACATAGATTTCTCAGGAGACCTGACACCGCATGGCTTTTACACATCTAGCCTGTGTTTGTGTTAACTTGGCACGTGTTAAAAATAATATTGCAAAAGGAGAATGTAATTTCTAACTTTCACGCCCACCAGCCTGGAGCACTGTTTTGAGATCTGGTCGTTTTAAAGTGCTTCAGTCTCCCAAGATATTAGGAGGGAGGGAAAGGCGCTTAACTAAAGTACTGCTTATCTGCCAATTACCATAAATATATATTTTTCTAAAAAGCTGAATTCTGGCACCATGCAACACACCATAATCTGTTTGAGGCAAACCAAAGTAAAACTGTGCATAGAAATTGCCATATCTTTTGTAAAATGTTATGAATTTTGAAGCACATTATAACAGAGTTATGGATTGTTCAGTGTAAACAACCTTATGCGTAAAGGCTTTCTTTCAGTAACTTCACTTCTGTGAATAGTTTCTTTAAATTACTAGACCATATGTTTGAAGGTTAAGGAACTTCAAAAGCTACAGACAAGAGTTCTAGACAAATTTGGATTTAATTCCTCAAAACTTTACTGGTCAAAATGTGAACAGGATATAAGCTCCACTAAATTTAAACAAAGACAGGTGAATTATTTTGAATTGTAAATATCATTTAAAATATCAAGGCACTGATTACAGGCACGAATTGACAAAGTAGGTCTGACATTCAAATGCATAAATGTCTGACAGCTTGATCATTTGTATATATAGACCTTTTTGTTTCATTCCACATAATGTTCAATTTCTTTACAAAATGTGATAAAAAGATCTGAAATTTATGTGGTATGATAAAATTGAAACTACCTATATGATGGATATAATAAATGTCAGTAAACGCATTCTATGGTTATTCTAAATTACTGAAAAGATATCATTCACTTTTCATTTTCACTTCTTTTTCAAATTTGCAAATTTGTTTTTGCAATATATAGCGAGTGCATATATATATATATATACACACACTCTATATATAACATACTCTGTATATTTTAACAACATACAGAATGGTGATACCTAACGAGGACTCCTTCCAGGTTCTGAAGCAAAATGAATTTGAAGAATTTTTGAAAAATCTGAGAGTTTAGTGCCTGGTTAGTGGCTTATTTTGTACTGTGTGCTGTGAGTGAATATGGGAATATTTTAAGAGGTCAATACCAGCACAGTTAGAAATGTAACTTTCTCCATGTGAGTAACCCAAGTTACTCCAATGAGCTACCCACTGCTTGAAAGTTTAATTTGACATTATATTTTCAACATAATACTAAGAATATGGAGGAGGAAGGCAGCTCATGAAGGTGTGAATCATTTGAGGTTCCACTGACAGTAGTTTCTGAAGACCATATACAAAGTCCTGAACAAATGCCCAGCAAATTGCAAACAAAACCTTATTCCACACCATGCTATCATTTATTCTACATAAGCCACTGATTATATTAAGAATTATTTTAATATTTCAAAGTAAAGCAAATGTCAGTGGGATCATGCATCCCCTCACTTATAAAGCTAATCTGTCATCAGAAGTCCAGCAATGCAGATATCAGAAAGGGAATCACTCTATAACTAATGCTTTTTCTTTTTAATCCTAAATGCCACCTCAAATAGTTTTAAAATGTCACAGCTGTAAAGTTCAACTTAAAAAGAAACTCTTGCACTAGAAAAATGATATTGCATGTGTACTGGGAATTAAGATTCTGATGTTCTCTGCTGGTCTATAGTTCACTTCTCTAGATGAAAGGAAGTGCAAGATTTTGAGTTTAAAAAACTTGATGCTGCTGCTCGTTGACTTCTTTAATCTTCAGGCCAGATCACACGCTTGAAGAAAAGGGGACAGAAAGTTGGGAAAAGTTTTGGAGCAGGTTGATTTTCAGAAGATGGCAGCTGCTTGAATCTACACTGCCCTAAACACAGCAGACAGATGATACAGTGGTCAAAGGAGAATGCTAATTCGATGTATCATGGCTCTATAAATGTGTCACCTAGGTTGGGCACATCTCCCTTTCCACTGTGCAGTGTGGGGAGGGTGCCGAGGTGAGGGGGAGAATACTTGTGATAGATTTGTGTAGTTGTTTAGATGGCATGGAAGTGGGATGCCAGCATTACTTATACACCCAGAAGGCCCTGCCCCAACCACACTGGTGCCCTATCTTCACAGAAGTTTTTAACATTTGCAGCTAAAAGCCTTACCAGCTCCTCCTGCAGTATTTGTATCAGAATAATACTGTTTATATAGCCTACATTTGGTTTTAATTTCTCCTCACTCCTTTTTACTTTTAGAAGGGTATTTACACAATCCAGGCAAAGTTATAGTCCTCTGTCCTGCTAGAGTAGTGCCACAGTAGGCGATTACGTAGTTATCAAAAGAATTACTACTGAGAAAAATGGTTAATGGGAACAGATGGACGCCAAAACTAAGGGTCCAAATTTATAGGTTCTCATCACACAAAAAGCTCCACAAATATCACTGGATGTACTCGTGGGATTAAGGAGTCAGTAAATTTATTTTTTAATGTAAATATCCCTTTTAAAAAAAGAAGAGGAGATAAATACAGACAAATCACAAGAACTATTTTGAAAGAGATTTTTTTTTTAAACTCTTGCCCATTAGGCATGAACATCTGTTTAGTTCAAAAATTATACTCTGATATCAAAGTAGCAGTATAGTATATTCCCCACTATCTCACAATTTAATTTTCACAAATCATATAGCTCTATGATCTGTATTATAGTTGGAGGTAAGCTATTGTTTATACACACTATCAATTCTTATTTTAATAAAGTTATTTGTGGTGAAAATGTTTGACAGCTCTTCCTTTGAGGACCCCGTTTTGCAGATTAAGTCATTATTGCATAAATCATTCTTGACAGCTGTAAAATATTGCTTGAGGTGGTAAAGCTGTAAAGCTTTTGACATAAAAAGTATAATTACTTTGGTACTGAGAATAGATATATGATAATCAGAAAAGATTGTATCACACTGAATAGTTTTTTACTTCTTATTCTATGTTTTGTGGACAACAGTGGGCTATATCTAAGCTTACAGAGCATACCTGTTAAAAGGGAAGTAAGGAGGCCATTTAAGCTTACCCTATAAAGACCAGATATTCTATAAGATAAGCACTACAGAAGAGTATAGGTTTGAGCAGAGATAACATTAAGCAATTATTTGCAGAGTGTTTACAAACCTCACAGATTACTTGCCACTTACCATGTCTGAGAAAGGTAATTTGCTACAGTTGACTTCAAATTAAATATGTTTGTATTTTCAAAACACATTTAAGGTTCCAAACTAATATTTTTAAGGTCTCCTAAGCTCTTTTTTGAGGGTAAGAAGACAAACAAACTGTAAACATACTGACAAAATAAAGGAAAAATTGTATTAAGTGTTCTTAAATAGAAAGATCAGGACTTCAATTGGAAGGTCATCATCTAGACTTCAGCCAGCATGGGCGTTTTACCACCTATTTATTTGTGTTCTATAAATGCTCTGAACCTACCAATCAATTAAAAATACAACTGAACAGAAAGACCCTTGCACATATGTCAAGTCCCCTTAAGATTGGCTCTAACATGAGGGTCAGCAAGTGCAGTTTTGACTATAGATTCAGTCCCTTAACCAGAGCTGATGAGAAAGGTCAATGAATCAAGTCACTGCCTAATACCCTGCTCCTGTAGGAGTTCTTGGTT